AATCTATCAAGCTCTTTACTCAATACTCTTATAAATTATTAACTTACATGAGAGAAATAATTTTAATCCAATTTAATCAACTCAATAAATGTGTGAGAATAATCCAACGCTCTTATAACATACAAATTAACATTTCAGCCAATTCAAAATGCTCAAGTCAATGCTCTCTAATGAAATCTAAAATCCTATAAAGTGAGAATATGAATTTTGCTTCAGCTATAAATAAAAGTCAGCCCACAGTAAATTACTAGAAAGTGTGAATTATTCTCGACTTGTCTTTGTAAGAGTTTTCATATCAATATTTACCCACATTAGCGTCGCGTGGATAACAACAAACACAACATTCGAGTCTGAAATAGATTACGGCTGGGCTCTAATAGTTTAGGTGGGAATATTAACTAACTTTTATATTAAGACAAATATAATTTATCTTTGATATGACTTAAGAATTACAATCCATAATATTGTGTATACATACGTTTGTACATATTGCATACGAATATTATTTAAATTAGATTTCTATGATATAACTTGAGACTTAAAGCTACATATTTTCAAGAGTGTTAGTAAAATATAGATTTTTAAAATACAAATTACAATACAAAATACATATAAAAGAAAAATGTGATTTTTTATTTTATGTCATGATATCAGATATCATGATATCATTGCTTTCTGTTTACTGCTTTCGCTTGTTGTTAAACACATGTCGAGTGTTCATATTACCCGCCCAGATACAATTTGGTCAGCTTACAATTTGATGCCTATGGTATCAGTCGCAGACTTGCCTAAATTGGCATTAATCGGACACCTGAAAGATAGAAAACACGTGCCGCTCCCTGTAGAACGGCTTATGTAAAGCGTGCCGGAAGACGAGATCTTCCAGTTCACGTTCCAGTCTCGGGCGTTCAAGGTCAGCGGGACAAAATATTGTGATAAGAGAGCTATTGTGATATTAAGAAAATGAAAAAACGGAGGATTACAATGTTTTCGCTGTAAACACGATTAGCGGACAACGTACGATATTATAATCGTATAATCGTGTAACATAATCTATTTGCTTTGGTCTTAGAAATAAGGATGAGATACCTTAATAATATATACTCTTTTCCATATGACATTTAAATATATGGAATATTTTCAAAGTGAAACTTTTTAGCCAATGGAATTTTTTTCCATAAGTGTTGTGACATGAGGCAGCTGCAATTGGAATCTTTGGGAATGAACACATATGCAATGACCTATCTATGTATGCATGTGTGTATTAGTGTTTGGCGTGAATTAAGTCCTAAATTTAACACGAGAGGAATTTTTTATGGAAAAATCCCACACACACTTGCACGCACGTAGACGCACATACATTGAGCGACAAACACTCTGCCATGTGCAGAAGTGCAAGCATTTGGAAAAGTAAATGTAAAGGCATAAACGAGACAAAAATCGAAATTTTCCATTCGTTTGTCGAACGCGTCAGACGATGGATGGATGCACTGCAGAGTCGATACCCCCGCCCTCTGATTGCTCTCACATGCTTGTTCGCTCTTGCACGCTCTCTTGATCTCACGGCCCCCACACAACAACAACACTCACACATATATATATGCACATTCGCTCACATTATAACTCTTTCGCGTATATTGATTCCGTTTTCAAAATCAATTTAAAATTGGCAAAGCTTTCGTCTTATATTGTGCTGGTTGTTATTGCTTTCTTCTTTTGCTCTCTTCTTATGTGCCATTTCTCTACTCTCTGCATGTGACTGCGATCTTTGGACTTTGGACAGGTCGACCTACAAGGGGAACCTGCCAGAATCTCCTGGTTCCGCCTCTGCCCCGATCTGGTTAATGCACTTAGTTACTTTGCACGTTTTCACGAATACCTCTTGAATAGCAGGCAGGTTGCCAAAAAGATGCCAACGACTTGATTTCCGATTTGGCTTTAGGTTAAGCATGTTATAAGCAGGACACATTGTTATTTTGTTTAAATACATACATATGTATTTATATTTATAAATGCATACATACATATATAGATATAAATAAATACACTTTTGCTCTATTATAAAATAAATTCTCTTAAATATATACATAAGTATATGATAATTAAGTAAACAGTTGCTAACTGCGTTCATTAGGCTGCAGCAAGTTAACAGTTAGCTAATAACATTCACACTTTCCACTGGGTCACATGTGTGACTTTGCACAGCTCACACACGCAGTCACAAGTTCACATATGTACATACTCACACCTACCCGCGATAGTACATCAAAATATCCCAATTCAATACGTCACAAAAAACCCTTCGTAAGCAACTTTCGACTGAGCTGTAAAGATTTCCATTACACATTGCCCATTTTTGCAGCGTCTTAACTTCGGCAAAGCTTTAAAAATTATTTTTGCATTTATTTGGCCCTCGCGGCCTATGCTGAGCGATGCACTTAAGAGCGTAATGCACAGACCGAAGAGTAGAGAACGCAAATCTAGGGTAAGAGAAAGAGCAAGAGCGAGCCGGTTTTGGGGGCACGTTCGTTTTATCGTTGTTGTTGTTGTTGTTTATTGTTGCTGTTACTGGTGCTGCTGTTGCTTTGGTATACAAGACAAGCCCCCGTGCGTGACGTCACGTAAACGCGACCGTTACTGTAAAGTGAAAAAAGAAGAAGAGCAACGACGACAACGACTCGAAAACGAGTTGTGTTGGTTGGGCGAAAAATGTGCAAGGCAACAGCAACAAGTAGAGACGAGTGCGGCGAAATGGGCTGACCATGGCGAAGCATGGCGAATCGTGCAACGTGATTTGCAAAACGAACGCAATTGATCAATCAGCAATGGAAGCAGCGAGAATAACGGAGAGGGCGAAAGAAAGAAAGAATGAATACATTACCATGTGACCGATCTTTCATTACTTTACTCAGCCGATAAGATACAATTCTCGAAATTGGCCCGGTCCCCCGCTTGCTCCGCATGCGTGTGTGAAAAGTGTCGAACAGTATATTGTTAATTTCAGACATAGAAATGTCATATCGCTAACAGCAATCAATTGTCATACAGCGAACCGTTCAGTGGATCGCTTAGTTTACCCGCTTACCCGCTCACCCGTTAACCTTGAACTTAACACTCGCAGCGCAGTCGCAAGTTACATAAAGCTCAGACAGAGACGGGCAGCGGAACGAGAGAGAGGCCGACAAAGAGAGACGACGGCACATTTGCATATTTCGCCTAGTAGGCGCGACGCGCTGGGTCTGAATGCATTAGGCCCGGTTCACAGGCGTCTAGTCAGGTGTTGCAAACCGGAATTTGAATTGTTTAAACTTTGTGATATTTATAGATGTCTGGTTGGATCAGCCGACTTGTCTAATAAAAATATTTCAGATGCCAGTCGAGCAGGTTTATCATGCTCTCTTCCCCTCCCTCTCTCTGCCAGTCTCCGTTTCTGTTCTCTTTCGTTTGCTTCTTGATGAAAAAATGCACATTTATTGCGTTATATGATCTAGTTCGATTGAGCGAGTGCGAAACTGAGTGAATCAGTCATGGAATCACAGATTGTAACACTCATGCGTGTTATCTAGGTATACTAAATAATTTACGGGTTAAATAAAAAAATTCAAGTAGCTTAAAAATTGATTGATTTTTAATGATTGGTCCGTAAAAAAATCGAGCTTAAATTAGGTATAATAAAAATCCGTTTTGAATTTGTTTTGATTCATTGAGCCAATTAAATGATATACTCTAGAACCCTTTCGGAAGTGATTGCAAACATGTTAGCTTATAATATTAGGGAGAGTTGCTCTACTGGCCTTTTAGTATTCCAGTTAAACTTCTACTAGATATATTCCAAATAAGAATTTTATAGTCGAGCTCTCAATATCCAGCCAAATAACCTACCGAAACTGGAAAAATTCCAAACAGCATTCCGCTCCAGACAACCCACTCGATGCAATAGAATTCTCCACATTACGTAACGCCCGTAAGTCACCTGAGTTTCTCGGATCTCGCTGCTCGATCCCAAGTCTGAGTTTCTGTCGCGTCATTTGTCACGTTTCATTTGTCTGCGCCATTTCATTACCACCCGACCATGCACATTCTTAATTAGCTCGTTTTAATCGCTGTCGTCTGACTGTCACTTTCCATACTCGTTTGGCCATTTGGCGCGAGATGCTTGAGGCGGACACACCTTCCTTTTTCCGGCCCTATCAGAAGTGATCAACTTGCAGATACCCTGTATGCGATGACGAGTTGACTTCACTTTTTTTCCTCCTCAACTGAACGGTTCATTGAAAGGAACTCATTCAAATGAATGTGTTTGTTAAAAGGAACTTACTCGGTTGTATGAACCATATAAATTACTCCAATTCAACTGTACAAGATAATGGTCTAAAGCAACTGGTTGGTTCAATGTAATGAACTTGTACTATTGAATAAAACGGTTTTTTAAAATGAACTAGTAACCTTATTAAAATAATTGATCAGAATGAATCAGTGAATAGTTCATCAAATGAAACTAGTTAAGACTTTTAATACGAAATTAACTATTTCGTTCACCCACTTTTAGGCGAAACTTGACTTATTCAATTATTCAATCGGAAATTTAATAGATTGCAAATTCTATGTGCAAAACTAATCTATTCTCTTTGATATAGGGTATATAGAAAACAACTGTGCACTTAATTGATTGACGCACTTGAATTGTTATACCCATTAACCATTGGAAATTTGAATTCAGGGTATATTGGTTTTCCGAAAATGTTGGCAGATGAACCCGGAGCTCAGTCCATTCTATATATCTGATCAAGAGCCCAACTAACCATATGCAAATTCACCATATGTGAAAACAATGTTGTTAATGACAAATATAATATTTTCCAGTGTTGTTTATTTATTTATTTATTATTTCTCATTTTTCACACAATTTTCGTGCAGTTTTGCAACACTGTGCGCCGGCCCCCATAGCAAAACAGGCCCTCGTAAGACTAGATATATACAATATATATACATATATGATCAATATATGGTTCTATGTGTTAGCAGTAATTGTTTATTGACTTGATTGGCCTTAACTTGCCCAGACAATCATTTTATTGTTATTATAGAAAATAGATGAATTCAGATGAAGTCTAACGTCAACCACTGAATTGAACGGCTGCGTAATGCCCTAGCCTCAGTCAATTTTCTCGAAATAGACCTGCGTTAGGCTGCGTGCAATGCCATAGGCATAGAAGGTAAAGTCGAGACGGTAGACACCTGGTGGCACCGGCATATTTATCTTGTTTATGTCCAGAGCGAACTTGTCCACCATCATGTAATTCTAAGATGTTGTCTGTTAGATTGATGACGCATTGTTTGGTTGATTGACTTACCTCAGTCCAGGGACAGGTGTGATTAAAGTTGCTGTGCTGCCTGATCGTATCGAAGACGAATCGCTCGAATGAAAGCTGATATTTGCGAGCACCCATTAGCTTGCAGAAATCGAAGAGTATGTTGTAGAGAAAGGGACGATACCCATCGCTACGCTGGAAGCACTGCAGTCGGGTAGTTAGATTCGTGATGGGCAGCTCCAGCAGTGTAACCTTCAGCGACAGCTCCACTTGGTTGCGTCGCACCACCTTCAGGCGGCAATAATCGTAGCGGCAGAATCCCGCATTTGTTGGCAGCTCCAAGCACTTGACGTTCGTGAATTTCAGGAGGCGTGCATGCTAGGGTATATCAATCAGTCAGTTATTGTCCAACTCTCCCTCTCTCTTCATCTCCATCTCTTTCTGTGTGTTTCTCGCTTACCGCTGCCTCAAGGAGCAACATCCATAGTCCCAGTTGCAGCCACATTGTACGCATTTTTCTGTCTAAATTTTAATTTCGAATTTCGGACTTGTAGTACCCATGCCTAAAGTGCTAAAGCGTAATGCTTGCACCATTTATAAGTCGATTAGCACTAGGTTATTTACCTGTAGCAGATAGGCAATCAAAATTACAGGTCAAATTTTCGGCAACAAAACAAATGTTAAATACATAACCAATAGTATTATAAGAGAGACAGAGACAGACAGAGAGAGAGAGAGAGAGTGAGAAAGAGCGAGGGAGAGAGAGGCGAAGAGATAGAAAGAGAGGCAGCTATAGAAATAATATAGGAGAGGCAGAGAGAAGGAGGAAGTGAGATATTAAGAGAGGGGAAGGATAAAAATTTAGAGAGATATTTAGAGAACCCTGTTATAATTTCATATAATTATTCATTCGGTAGAATTGCATACATTGCGAACCAATAGTGAATTGCTAGTCGAAATCCTATCTAGAGCAATCGTGTATAATTACTTCCTGTCTAGGCATCATAATAAAAATCATAACTAACTAATAACTATAGATCATCAGTTCAGTTTCAGTTTCAGTTTCAGTTCAAAGACCAATAGCCGAATTCAGTTTAAGGCGCAATTCTCAATTGTTCATCGGGTGTTGACTTCGTTAACTGAAATTCGTGGAAAAGCCCTACAAAAAATGTTAATAATTTCCTGTTGTGGGTTTTCAATTACAAAATAAAATACAATACAAAAAAAAAAAAAAAATTGTCTTGCGCTTTTTCACACCAAATATGAACAACATAAAACGTAATTCCTTGACTCATTCAATGCTAGCTCCACTTGACCCTCCTTCGCACCCTCTATCTTTCATTTATTTCGCATTTTCATTTCAAATTTCTGCCAACGTCAGCAGCCGTATTTGGCCCAGCCAATGCGGCGTATACTTGTTAAATGACGACGCTCTCGATCAACATACGACGAATCATGCGAAATACACTGCTTGTAAATCCAGTAAATGGGTATATGTCCATCCAAGAGTCGCTCGTATGCAGCACGCTGTTGTATAAGCTAATAATTCTTTGTTTAGTTATTGCCTATAATAATTTAAAAATATGATTATTTATTATATTTTTATTTCATATTTCTCATTTTATTTTCGTTTTGGTTTATTCTCTTGTGTATTTCTTTAATAAAATGTAGAAAAATGCTCAAAAATTGTTCAACGATTAAGATAATCGACAACAATTCCAATTGGAAAGCTAATCTATCTATCTATCTGATGTTATGCCAATCAGAATGTTTAATTTTCTTTTTGTCGCTCAAAATTATGCTACAGTTTTTTCTTAAACAGTTTTTAAAACAAAATCATGAAAAGTTTTAGAAATAAAAATAATTATGAAAATAATTATAAATCGAAATTGAATAAAAAAATAAATCTGTGAAGCCTTCAATTACTTTTACCAATTCTTTTCCTTAACACAAAAACATTTGTTTTAGTCTGTATTTAAGCAATATAAAAACCATATTATTTTCTATTTATTTGAATTTTTATTCATTTCATATCCATTTTCTTATTTATATATATATATATATATTATATATATATATATTATTATTATTATTATATTTTGTTATTAGTTTTGTTTATTTATTTATTTATTGTACTTACGTATTGTTTTCTCTTAAGTTATAGATTACAAATCATAAAATGCGTCGAGTATAAGTCCCTTGAGTGGTTTAAAGAGTATCTTATAGTCAATATCACGCACTATAGCCAGCGTACTTACCTGTGTTTTTTTTTTAATGTAGGCAGTAGGTATTAATAAATTTTCGCAAACGCGTTCAGATTTCGAAATGTCAACACCAACACCTGCACCTGAAATTAGCGCAGCTCAGGTGATGCCTAAGCACATACACACACACACACACACACACACACACACACATACAATTGCAGCTTAGCTTTTGCATTGCCTTGGCAAATTTACAAAAATTCTCAGAATTATTATTTTTATTTTGTATTGTTTTTAGGTGAAAACCGATGCGTTTCCAATTGGGAAAGTCAGTGACCTCTCCCACGAAAAGGCGAATCTGAGTTGGATCATGTACGCGCGCTTAAACTATACTTAACATAATATTGAATGAAGCGTCAAAAAAAATATGTGTATATATGGGTGTGTGTATGTGTGTGTTTGTGTGAACTGTTGAATGAACGCGAATTAAATCGCGCGATAAGAAGCCACATCAAATTGCAAATGGAAAATTGCGAAATTTGCGAAATCGTAAGCAGCGTGAAACGGGAAACAGCATTAAGTCAATTTTACACATAATTCAATTGTTCTACCGACGCATAACATTTGAAATAATATCTGCGATCTTAGAGTAATAATTTACCCCTTCTGTCTCGCTTACTCTCGTTAAGCAGGCCTCAAATGCAGTGTTGACATAAGACAGCTGCAAGTGATTGACTTTATATAATTGTGTTTTTTACCCCCCTTTTCTAGTACGTCACATTTTACGTATTACGTAGCACGCATCTAATTGTCGGCCAATGCTAATTGATGACGTATCTCTCTCTCTCTCTCTCTTTCAACTGCCCGCTACTCGATCGTTGACGTATTTATAACTTTTCTGTTTCTCTTCTTTGCAGATTCGTGTTTACGTTGCCAGGCGGAGAACAAACGGGACGTGTTGGGTCGACAGGATTGTGTAGTGGTTTGGGGCGAGTGCAATCACTCGTTTCATCACTGTTGCATGTCGCTGTGGGTTAAACAGAACAATCGCTGCCCGCTGTGTCAGCAAGAATGGTCCATTCAGCGCATGGGAAAATAGGCCAAGGCGTTATCTCACAATAACAGTAATTAAGCTAAAGAGCATGTTAACGTTTCTGATATAAGCAATAACCTAGATCCACTTAATAAAGTCAAGCTGAATAAATATAAAAAGTAAAATAAATACAAACCACATTTATAAAATAATAAAAAATTTACATGCCCCGGGTGAGGCTCGAACTCACGACCTTAAGATTATGAGACTTACGCGCTGCCAACTGCGCCACCGAGGCTATGAGCACCTTTACGTTTAACAAATTACTTGACTCAGAATCGTTCTAGACACATTCAAGTTGTTTGTACAGCTTTAATAAATATGCTTAGATGTGTTATAAATTTTTTGTAGGCAGCCGGCAGGCGCAGTGAGCTTTTGCTTTAGAATAGTTTGAAAAAACTCGACTTGGCTTGTATAAGTTATTGGCAAAGCGTCCACCACCTGTCCCTTTGGCGCAGAGGATAGCGCGTTGGACTTCTAATCCAAAGGTCGCGGGTTCGATCCCCGCAAGGGATGTAAAAATGGAACTTCGACTTAAAACTTGAAGTGTCATCTAGTTTTTTACTTTTATTAAACTATAATTTTAATATACATTTTTTATAATTAGGTAACATGCTACTCTACAATCTGCAATCACGTTTTCGGCTGCAACGATGGCGATAAATTACGTTCCAGAACGGGACTCGACAGCTTTAATTTCTCCACATTAACTGCATTTTCTATTTCAGCAACTTGGCGTTGAGAGCGGATCTCTTGTATGGAAGCTATAATTAAAAATATATGTACATAGATATTAATTTTGGCATGTTATGTAGTTACGAGTAAAAATATCACTCACGACTATATGGCGTGTACTTGTCGGATAGAAGGCTCTCGAGATTATAGCCAATAAATCCAACGACGGCCGCCACTGGTAAAGTGATGTAAACAGCATTCCGCCGCAGAAGTGCCATAATTACCGGCCACATTTTTAGATTTTAGTTCTTGATGAAACAATACGAGAAAGATTTCTGACGGAAAGCACAACAAACCAATGCTGAATGCATATTCGCACAGAATACTAAATACGTATTAATTTTGGACAGAAAATATGGTCACACTTGCGGCACCGGTTAAAAGTGGATTCTATTGCTCATATGGAATAATAATGAAATATGTTTTTAATTTATACCAATGGTACAAAATATGTCCTGTAAATCAATTATTAATTAAATTTAAATAAATTTCACGTGTAAAATAAATAAAATGATAAATATGGATCGATTATTTAATCTTAAATTGAAACCGCGCACTATCGCCTTGGTTATCGATAGTTAGCGTATACACAAGGCCCACATTTAAATTGTATGATAATTTACATTGAATTCCTTTTTAAACCAGGTATAAATATAATTAATTATTTTATAATTTGTTAAGTACTTTTGCGTCGAATGATGTCATGAAATTCTAATACTTCGTATCGATTCTCAGCAGTGCAGTAAACTCTCGATAGATTTTCTTCACGAATTGATGAACGTCACATAAAACTTATCCCATTTATTTCGTATTCAACTGTTAACTAACATTTTTTTACATTTCACAGCTGAATTGTATTTTATAGCTCATCGTATATTACATGTCGCCCATAGAGATGAGCAGAAACGCTGCACAGCTGATTTGCATCGATTCATCGGATTCATCGTTTCTTTGTGGATATCTCGTCGAAATTTTCACAAGAAAAATAAACATAAACAGAACAAAGTTAGAGCGAGACGCGCAAAGAGTGGCGAAACGTATTAAATGTATTGCAGACTTTTCATTGTAATGTTGCAATTGCAAAGCAAAATCGCAATTGAGAACAGATAAAAAAGTAATATCTTATCGCTGTGTATATTTATATACGTTATGTTAGTGTAATGTGCATAAAAATAACTGCAAATAACGATCGAAAACAAAATAAAAAAAATGCTCGACAGGGAAAAAGTTATTTACGCATTAGAAACAAGTCGGCTTAATTCCAATTTCAGTTGGTTATAATGTATAATTATAACGACGCAACCGCAGCAGCAGCAGCTAAAACAACAACGTCGCAAAAGAACAAAGAACTCCAGTGCATTAACAACCAACTGGTACAAACACAGCAGCAGCAGCAGCAAAAACAAGCGCAGCAGCCGCAGTGCGACGCATAATTTCCTGCTTACCCACACTCTCTCTCACACACACTTACAC